GGGGCTGTGTATTTACAGGAATACCCAAGCAGCAGAAAACCAGTAAGAAATGGGCTGAACTCTCGCAAAACTCTTGCCACGCTTTTCCTGGGGCAGCTGGGAGCCGTTGCCTCGTACCTCCCCGTCCCTACCATATTGCCTTTGGCATTTCACTCCAATTTAAGAGGTGCCAGTCCCCAAAGGATACAGCACAGCAAAATGAGAGCAGGAAGGCTATCGCAGCAAAACCAGAGACACGTCTGTGCTGGAAAAACAGGAAAGCGGCTCGGGGAGGGGGCTGTGGGACCGGGTGCTAGCACGCGGCTGGTGCGATGGGAGAGAAGCACGTAGAGGAAACCACCCAAATGCTAACTGTGCCCAACCGCAGCGGTCCTGGCAGAGCCCGGCTGCTGAGAAAGCACCTTGCAGAGGCAGAAATCAGCAAAGATGGGATCTTCTCAGCTCCTGACTGCTGGATCCTTATTTCTAACCCTCCTTCCTCACCCCTAGCCAGGCCTACTCTGTCTCTTCCCTGCCTTCCAGACTGGTCAGGCCCTACGCTGACACTGCCCGAAGCTCGGGCCCATGTCACCGCACCACTGAAGCCACCCCAGGCCCCAGTGCTGTCTCTGAGACCAGAACCTATAGACTTAATTTTTAGGACTTTTTACAGCCTTTTGACATGGAAGCTGCTTCTTGCTACACGTCCCTGTTGTGAGGCAGGAGGCTGCCCGTACCTTACCCCCATCTCTTTGATAGATGTGCTTAATTCACTTCTTAAGCTTTCTGCCCCGCAGCGGGGTGGGGTGGGGGGGAGTAGGACTGGGGGAAGCAACAGGCTGGCTTCAGAGATTGCTGCAGAGCAGCACCAGCACTTGGCTCCTGGCTCCAGTTTTTCTTACTTGCTCTCATCAGGGGTTAATTCCAGCCACCGAGTGCGTGAAAACCTCCCAAACCTTCCCCAGCAGTGCCCTGTGAGGCTGAGCAGCCAGGCCCAGAGCAACGGGACGCCCCTCTCTCCTGGGCAGGGACGTGCCACGCAGCCCACCTTGTCCCCAGGGCGCTCAGATGAACGACATTCAAGGAAATCCTCTCTCTATTTAGAAACTTGTTTCAATCCAATCAGGTTTTACCTTTTCTGCTTGGCTGAGCTCGTCCTTATTCCTGAGCTTATCCCTGTGCTTGGAATCTGGGTCAATGCTTTCATCTTCTAAAAACTGCATGTTCATATTCAAAAGCCAAGCAGCAGTGCGGTCCAGGGCATTGGGGTTCACAGGAGAAGGGGCCTACAATGAAACATACAACCATAACAAAAGAAAAACCTGTAACAGAAATGGTCACCAAGCTGGAGAGAGAGAATTCCCTTCCAAGCAAGCCCTCTCCCACGCTGCTCCGACAGCCACAAACACGGCTCAGCAACCAGAGCTGCCGGGGGGGGGGGGTAGGAACAACTCCTGTTCTGCACCTCGTATTATTTTAGGTCAAGCAGCCTTTGACAGGCCCAGTTCTTCCCCGGGCCATCCCCACAGAGCGGCCGTACAGCGGTGCTGCAAGGGGGTCCTGCCAAAAGGAATGGGCCCAGGTTTCTGAGTGGGTCCTGTCACCTCGGGAGGACGCGACCCGAGAAGGCGCCGAGCTGCGGGCAAACAGAGCGGCTTGATGGGGTGCGTTCCCTCTGATGGGGTACGTTCCCTCTGACGGGGTACGTTCCCTCTGATGGGGTACGTTCCCTCTGCAAGCTGTGGCTTCACTCAACTCTTCAGTCTCCTTCACCGAGTCCTCTTTTTGCTTCCTCTGGAGATTTCGTACAGGTAACACCAGAGCTGCAAACCGAAATGCTACATTTGGTCATGCAGGCGTCTTCTTGAAAAAGAAAGGTTTCTTTTTGGCTGAGACGACACTTAAGACACTGGAGAGGTCTGAACGCTCAACACCTTAGTAGTTCATCTCTAGGTGTGTTCAGGTAGCTACGGGAGCTCCAGGAGCCCTGCTGTTCTACAGCCAGCGAGCCAGAGCCACAGCTGCTGCTTTTCGGTCCCAGCCTGGTCAGGGACTGCAAATGGCATCGCCTAAATATTTTCCAAGCACATTACAAGGTTGAGGAAGTGAATCTCCAGCTATTTCTCCTCCATCCTGGCTCACTATGAACTGCAGTAAACAGTTTCTTGGATGAACACAAGGGATCTGGATGACTTGGTTGAGGGAACTCAAGTTAACAAGTCAGAAAGGCCAGGGACCTTCTCCTTCATTCAAACCTCTGGACAGTAGAGAAACCAGCAAGCAGTGAACAAGAGGTTCTGTACTGGGAAGGAGTTGGGACTGGTTTAATCCCCTCACTGGGGTTGAGGGCTTTCCCATACCATCTTCCAGTCCGGTCTTCCACTTCCAGAACTTTAAACCAGAAGTTTCAGACCTGGCTCATGAACATCACTTGCTATAAATCCTCACCCAGCTTGTGGCTTTCTGCTTTTTCTTGTGTCTCCAGCTCGGGCACTGCACCTCTGCTCGGAATCTGTGGCTCCAAGGAGCAGTGGCCACCCGGGTTCATTTCAGCAGCATAAAGGCCATGGGTGAAGGATGCCAATGAACAGAGCTCAGCCCACCGTGCACAGGTCCTTCAGCCTCTTCCTTCCTTCTCCGAAGAAGCAAAAAAGGCCATCTGATCTGGCCTGGGACACCTGGGAAACCCGTTCAGCAGATGAACTTACAGAAGTAGAGGAAGCAAACTTACAGAAGTAGAGGAAGCGCTTCTGGCCAGCAGGAGTGAGGTTCAGGGACTTCTGAAGTGGCCACCAAATGGGATTTCTTTGTTCTCATAATACCACCAACTATGAGCAAGCGGTTTCATGATGGTTTACAGATGCTGCTAACACACAAGTAAAACACGCAGATTAAGGGTAGGAAAGGCATTCTGAGGACTTCAGGTCTTGAGAGAAACTTTGAGAGGCCAATAGGGGTGGGTGGAGGAAAGTTCTGCAAAGGCAGCTTGGCCAGGGCTCTCCAGAGGTCACCTGGAGTTCACTGTTGTCTTTCTGGAATAAACTCTGCTACCAAACAGGCTGCTGCCGCTTGCGGAGCTCTGTGCCCTCTGTACCTAATGAGGATCGATCCATGCCATGCCTGCTGATGTCAGCGCTTCGCAATCAATACCGTACGCACAGGCAGCTCCGGCTGGGGCCGGTAAAAACCCCTTCAACGGGCAGCGCTGACAACGGCCTCCACGGCTGCTGTGTAAAGGAGAGGCAGTTACACCAACGCTGGCGCTCTTTCGATGCTGCCCTGCTGAGAAGGTGCCTCAATGCCGCGTCCGGGCTGAGACGCAGCGAGCTCTTGCCAGTCGTCCACGTTCTTTGGCTTTGCATTACTTTTAAAGCTCTTCCTTTAGGCACTGAGAGGCCCTACTGTGTTAATTTTCTACAGGGTTAGTTCTGAAATGCAGAATGAATAAACGAGCACTAGAAGAACAATTTTATCCGTGCCAGGGAAACCAGAGGGCCCTGGGTCTGTGACCTACTGCCTTCAATCTTAGCACCACGAAGAGTGGGATTTGTTTCTGTGCAGACCCGCGTGCGGTCTGCGGCCTCAATCACTGCAGAGGACTGCACCCAGCAGAAACTTCACCCTCAGTGGGGAGCACGCTCCTTCCGTACCGCTCCCACCTCCCCAGTGGCACTTACAGGAGGGTCTCCGAGCAAACATACCGGAGCGTCCCGGAGCGCCGTGGCTCCGCCGGGGCGGGAGCAGCAGCAGGGAGACTCTTAGTTACAAGAGATTAGGGCCTGGTCCAAGTCTGGGAGATGGCGTGGGGTTGACTATGGCATGGGATGAGAGCCTGGGCATGGAGAGGCAAAGCGGTGACAAGATGGTAGCGCAGGACGGAGGCACGGCTGCCCTCGCCCTCGTGTCTCTGCCACCCGCCGCCTTGCGGCAGTCACACGCCAACGTGCCATGCAACGGAGGAGCACAGAGAGCGAACACTGGTCTGTGTCCCCGTCCCCGGAGGGCCTCCGTCTCAGGCCAAGCCGGGTGCAAGAGCCAAGGTACAGCCCCACATGCAATGCCACCACAGGGTTGGCACCGGTGTGGTAACTCGGAGCTGCAGTGACGTCCCCCCCACGCTGTCGCAATCCCTGCTGGCCAACTGCTTCTCCAAGTCCACGGGCTGACCCCACCTGGCCCCTTCAACACCCAGAGCTGGTACAGCCCCCAAACTCACCTGTTTGTGCATCGTGCGCTGCTTCATCTCAGGGCTGTCGCCCTTGGAGGAGGAGGACTGCTGCCGGAGGCGGGCCCCGCTGCCGGGCCAGTCTGGCGAGGAGGACATCAT